GGAAAACCTGCTGGGTACCAGCACTCCAGGATCAGGGTTGCCCACCCCTAGTATCAAGGTTAAAATGCACAGTTATTTGTTGACTCAATAAACAAACTGTTTTTAAAATAACTTTCTTTACTGTAGCTCACTTACTGCAATTGCCATATGAATTCTCCACTGACTAACCATCGCCACACTGCACATGCGCAGTCTGTAATAAGCACTGCAGTAATAAAACAAGTGAACACACATTTGAACAAATTAATGTGAACATAAATATTCTACAATATATATGTCTACATATTCATATTTAAACATAAAGATGACAAAAATCTCCTGGGATTTTTTTTTTTTTTTGGGATTCCACTCTTCCGGGGGTTAAGCATGTTTCTTCCATCATTAAGCATGTTTAGGAAGAGCAGAGCAGATGCCTATTTGATTAAACAATTTGCAAGCTCTCTTGGTAGATGACTGTGTCACACACTGGCTATTTTCACTGTTCCTTGATATTGCTCATCTCCAGCCGCAGTCTCATTCCATCCATGTCACCTGTGATAAGCTCAGAATACAGTGTAGAAAGGAATATTGCATTATCAATTCCATCAGTCAATGCAAGAGATTCTCCAGCAAGGCTACTGCAAACAACTCTGCTAACTGCTAGCCCATGAGCATGATGGGGTGCCCATCTTCTGTGCTTCCATCGGTAAGTTACCCAGTAATGCATCACTGAATAGAACAAGCTTCAGTTTATCCGGTTTTCCCAAAAACTGGAACTTCAGCTACACATAGTTTTCAATTATGTCATAATTTTAGCTAAGCTGAAGTTCAGTAACAGATCGAACATAACATCAGCTGGACTCTGTCTTGCTATCCAGGGAGGTTGACCAACCTTAGATCTAGGCTGGTCTACTTCAGATTCAGCAAGGACAGAATAACACTGTCAAGCTTGAGTCTTAGCGTATTTTTCTTGCTGTAGAAAAACAGCTTGTCAGTGGAGATTTCCATGCCAATGTAACACAAATGATTGGTCTCCTCTCGGCTAACCTGAAAAACATTTTTAATATGAGAAATCACAGGGGCAGTGAAGTCGGCTGTGCCTGCCCAAATGAAATCCTCCACATGATCCAGAGTACTCCGCTAAGTTCGCCTTCCTGGTCCAACCAGGAAAATACAGCTGGATCTTCCTTGAGATGACCTGCTCCCTGTTTTATATGCAGTGTCTCACTCTTTTGAACTAATGCAATGAAGCTTGGCCCACTGTATAGGTGACAGTGTGCCATTTGATTAGGGCAGTGTTTCTCAACTGGTTGGTTTAATTGTGTTAACACCAAAGTACTTACTGCTATACATCATTTGAAATTTAGATTCTTCTGAGTAAAATGAGCACAAGCACTACTTTCTACTATCTTCTGATAATCGCCAAGCAGAGTATAGCAGTATAGTCGATAGCCTAGCATCACCAAATACCTTTTTTGGGTTTGTCTGTTCCGCAGGAAAATTTTTGTAAACATGCCTCATCTGCCAAGCATTAGTAAACAGTGATCCCCCCTTATCCATGGTTTCAGTTCTCAGCGGTCAGTCGTGGTACGAATATATTAACTAGAAAACTCCAGAAATAAATAATTCATAAGTTTTAAATTCTGTGCTGTTCTGAGTAGTGTGATGAAATCTATATCCATATGCCGCTGGATACACTTCCCACCTATTGGCCACTTAGTAGTCGTTATTAAATCGACTGGTGCAATATCGCGGTACCTATGCTCAAGTAACGCTTTTTTAAATAATTGTTTTGTTAAGTTATTGTTGATGATGTCTTATTGTGTGTAATGTAAAAATTAAACTTTATCATAAGTATGTATGAAGGTATATGTGGCGTTTGCTACTATCTGCGGTCTCGGCTATCCACAGTAGGTTTTGGAACGTATCCCCCACAATTACTAGGGCACCACTGTACTCACTCCTGAAGTTGCTTTGCATTAAGAACAGCGAGATGGTGGACAGAAAAAAGTTTCATTAACATCTCATAATTTATTAGGTTTGCTGTTTTATGTCACTGTGGTGTATTGCACATTGTGTAAAATGTCACTCTGCTTTGTCATAGGCAGAAACCGCTTCAAGGAGAGTTACAGCGTCTGTGCCACACACTGAACCCATTGAGCCATGCGGCAGTCCAGATAGCAGGGTCTAGCACGAAAACAAAGGAGGGAACAGGCAGGGTCAGACAGGTACAGACCCTGACACACGCCAGATGCATGAGGGTTGGCAACCCTAAACATTGCTGGACTTGAACATGATGAACTCGGCCATCCAGCTAGATGGGCTAGACTGCTACCAAGCTGACAGTGGCCTCTTTGTCCAGTAATAGCTGTGGAGGCAGTTTGTGTGTTTGCATCAACAAAGCCTGGTGTACAAACTCTGTTGAAGTAATTCACCAGTATTCACTGCAGTTAGAGTTTCTAATCATAAAATGTTGCCCATTCTACCTGCTGGAAGAATTCACCGCAGTGGTAGTTGTATATTTCCCACCTAGCTCCAATGCAACCAGCCACTAGGCAAGCTGTACGAAGCTATCAGCAAGCTACAAACGGCGCACCTGAATGGATTTTTCGTTGTTGCTGGCGACTTCAATAACACTAATCTTAAGTTCTAAATTCTATCAGCATGTGAACTTTGCCATAAGAGGGGAGAACTGTCTGGGCAAAGTCTACACAAATGTGCATGAATTTGTCATGTTCAAGTCCAGTCATGTTCAGGGTTGCCAACACATGCATCTGGCATGTGTCAGGGTCTGTACCAGTACCTAACTAGCGTCAGGTCTATCTGTTTATTTGAAACAATTATTAAATAGTTGAGTATACAATTGTCATTTATTTGACCGCCATCTGTATGTTACAGCCTATTTAGGGGCATTTCAATTGTGTACATGTGCTAACATTATTAAGAATTAGGGCTGTCAAAATTAACGGGTTAACGCGGATTAATCCATCATCGTGATTAATCTGATTAAAAAAATTTAACGCAATTAACCCATCTGCAGCGCAGAATGACTCAAAATCCCTGAAATATGTCTCTGTCAACCCATTTCGGGCAATTTTGGTGCGTTCCATTTGCCCTGGGAACTCGTATTCCGAGTCGGATTCCGAGTTTTGAAGCCGGAAGCGACAACATGCGCACTCCCATATCTCGGAGCAGCACAGAGGATCCCAAGTTCAGAATCTGAGATGGCTGCGCCTTTTATCAACAGAAGGGAAAGTTGTAGTTTTATACTTAAGCACTACTTCTCATTTGTGGCTCATTAAATCGGTCGCACACACTATACCGTCCAACTTATCTGTGGACGTGTTGCTATGGAGTTTTATACATAAAGCACGGCGCGTAATGTGTTATCAACTGATATTGCTAACAAGCGGGCTAGAATTGGATTTCATGATTAGTCGGATTATTTGTCGGATTTACAGTAGTTCGGGCTAATTGTAAGTGAACGCAGATAAAGACCATTTAAAGTGAGGTACCTTAAATACAAGTTGTTCGGCTAAGCAAAAAATCTTACTTTTTGATATGGGTCCATGGTATTGCACTTCTGTGGCAGATGGAATCAGAGCATGTGAGCGGAGCGGTCGCAATTTAGTCAGAGCGCGGAGCGGTTTTTTTAATTAAGGCTGGAGCGGTTGCTCTGTCTCGCTCCAATTTCGCTCCGATACCGCTCACACTACGATTCTGAGGCGTGCCCAAATCTACCCAGAATTCATCTGTACAATTATCAAGACTATTACAGAAATTGGCCGAGATGGAATTCGCAAAGTATTTCACAAAGGAAACTGATAGATCATACAAGTGTAATATTCTTATCAAACGTATAGATGACAATAATGTAGAGCAAGAATAACAATTAAGGTGGTGAAACTGTTTCAGTGAGTAAAGATTCACTTTGGAATCATTTTTCTCAGAAACACGAGAGTGTTTTATGCGAACAGACGGAATTAAGCCAGAGCAAAACGTGAGCAAGTTTTATATGGTTGTAGTATATCAAGTCTATGAATTAAAGTATAAAAGCCTATATTGGTAAATATTGGTAATCAAATAAATTCGTTTTGTCATTCAAAGTGGGTCTAATAGGATTTTTTAAATTTCACGTAACACTGTTAGTGAAATTTTATTTTATAGAGACGCAGCAGCAGCATCAACAGAAAAAATTGAGTAATTTAAAACGTAGATGCTTAGCCTGTATATTCTTTAGACTATTAAGACCATTGATTCCTTTATTTTTAAGCCTATTTTTGTGTGGAATGCCATTGCAACGTATCCGTTGTTGCCTATATATGTTGCTTAAAAATAAATATTTTCTGACTAGCAATGTTGCCGTTGCTCATATTTCTTTATGATATATGGCTTCGGTTTAAGGTGACATTTGTTAGGCATGCGAATTATTTGTCCCTCTTTTTAATTGGAGCGAGCGTGGAGCGATTTCACTGGAGCGGGAGGAAATTTTAGTGGAGCGAGGAGCGCTGTTGAGCGGAGCGGCGTAGTGCGAATTAGAGCGGAGGAGCGGGCGGAGCCAACAGTCTAGTGAGCGAAGAGCGGAAATTCTCACCGCTCCACTCCGCTCACATGCTTTGGATGGAATGCATCCGACTCGTGTTCAAGATGTTCAATAAACATGTTAAGTGCATATATATTCCCTTTTTTCTTGAGTCTGTTTGCTCATGCAAAATGAATTGTGATTAATATAGATTAAAAATTAATGATATTTAATCGTGATTAATCTAAATTAATCCAAAGGAACCCTGTGATTAATCTGATTTAAAAATTTTATCGTGTGACAGCACTATTAAGAATATAATTTCATATCGCAATCAGGAAGCGATTCCACGGATACATTTCCCCTTGTGGCAGAGCATGCAATGACTTGACTGGAAGTGTGTGCTGCAGCCAATCACATGCTGTGAGGAGGAGTCAGTCACAGGTACAAACTGAAAGTAAGGAAGGGAGGACAGAGCAACTGAGTTTCAGGTTCAGCTGTTTGAATTCCGTCTTGAAAGGTAAGAGGAAAAATTTTTTTTTGTGATATTGTTTTTATCCCCAAAACGGCAATGTGCCTCGTAACTATAAAAATACATACAAAATGACTAACAGGTTGAAATCCTTGACTAGACAGGCATATTATAGTAGGTATGTCACAAAAAATTTGCAAAAAATAGCACCAGAAGAAAGGGCTTGATAAGACCTTTCCAATGATACCAAGAACTTCTTTCTGTGATGAATGGCAAGAAAGTTATAGGATATTTTGTAACGCCAATTAAGGCTTATAAACGTCCACTTAGTAACAGATAAAACAATGGAGAACCATACTTGACTTTGTGACCTGTTTATGGTGTTCAGAAAAATGAGCATAACTCTGTTATTGT